GCGTGCCCATCCCCCCAGTGGAGGGAAACGTCTGGAGAGGAGCTTGAGCCTCCCCCCCCCAGCTCCTCTCCCCACCCTGATCCAGCAAAGCCCTGAAGCACCCCCCTCAGAGTCATAGAATCATAGAATCATGAAGGTTGGAAGGGACCTCAAAGATCACCAAGTTCCAACCCCCCTGCCATGAGCAGGAACCACCAGACCAGGTTGTACAAAACCTCATCCAACCTGGCCTTAAAAACCTCCAGGGATGGGGCATCAACAGCCTCCCTGGGCAAACCCACTCCAGTTCCTCAGCACTCTGAGAGTGAAGAATTTCTTCCTAATATCTCCCCTCTCTCAGTTTAAAACCATCACCCCTTGTCCTATCAGTGTCTTCTCTGATGAAAAGACCCTCCCCAGCTTTCCTGGAGCCCCTTCAGGCACTGGAAGCTGCTCTAAGGTCTCCCTGGAGCCTTCTCCTCTCAAGGCTGAACAGCCCCAATTTTGCTACTGGGCTGCTCGTGTGCTTCAAGCTAAATTCAGCATTCAAAGTACCTGGGTTCAGGTGCTTTGCTGACTGGCTCATAAATCACAGTTAATTCCCCCAGCAGGGCAAAAAGTGAGGATTTCACTGCAGAACTGCAGCTGCTTCCTCTGGCTCAGACCAGCCTGGGTCTCAGCAAAAGGCACAGCAGCCTGTAGCTACAAGCTGAGCTTGCCAGTGACAAATAATAACAAAAGGTGCTGTTGGAGGAGACAGAAAGAGTGGTCAGACCCTGGAACAGGCTGCCCAGGGAGGTGGTTGAGTCACCATCCCTGGATGTGTTGAAGGGTGGTTGGTGGAGATGGTTTAGGGGAAAACTTGGTAGAGTAGGAATGATGGTTGGACTTGGTGTTCCCAAGGGGCTTTTCCACCCTGAATGGTTCTATGATTCTATGATTCTATACCCAGGACACCATCAGGCAAAGGTAGTACAGGAGATGGCAGGACTGGGGTCAGAAGTTTGGGAATCCCCAAGGGTCCACACGCAGCCTCTCAGTCCCTGATTACCTGGGGTTTCAGAGCATCCTTGGGCAGGCAGTGACCATCCCAGCACAGCCCCCCAGCCTGGCAGGGGGTGCCATCAGCCCATGGCAAGCTGCCGTTCTTGGTGTGGCACAGGGGCTCCCCACTGCCCCCCATCCTGCACCAGAGCTGGGCACAGATGTCCTCCTCCGTGGTGTTGGGGCAGTGCTGGAAGTCCTTGCCAAAGATCTGCTGGCACTGCTGGTCCAGGCTGTACAGGGCTCCTTGGCCAGGCAGCTCGGCGGGCAGGGGGAGGGGGTCAGCTGGGGCATCCAGCAAGCAGTCCCCTGGGCAAGACAGAGATGCATCAAAGGCTTGGGTTGCACCAACCTCACCCACCAAACCTCTGCCCATGGTCCAGTTTGAACACCCTTCATCCCACCCGTCTCTCCAGGCACTGCAAAGAGGCTGAGGGAGTCAGGAAAAAAACAGTTGGGAATGATGAAGCACAAATCCAGGCTGGGAAGAGAATGGATTAAGACCAGCCCTGGGGAAAAGGACTTGGGAATGTTGGGTGATGAGAAGCTCAGCATGAGCAGCAGCATGTGCTGGCAGCCTGGAAATGAACCATGTCCTAAGCTATGTGACCAGCAGGTCAAGGCAGGGGATTCTTCCCCTCTATTCTACTCTGGTGACCCTTCCCTGCCCCCCCTGCATTGCTGGGTCCAGTTCTGGGGTCCCCAACACAAGGATGACAAGGAGCTGTTGGAGCAAGTCCAGAGGAGGCCACAAAGATGATCCCAGGGCTGGAGCAGCTCTGCTCTGGAGCTAGGCTGGGAGAGTTGGGGTGTTCAGCCTGGAGAAGAGAAGGCTCCAGGGAGACCTTAGAGCACCTTCCAGAGCCTGAAGGGGCTCCAGGAAAGCTGGGGAGGGGCTTGGGACAAGGGCAGGGAGGGAGAGGACAAGGGGGAAGGGATGAAAACTGGAAGAGGGAGATTGAGGTGAGACATGAGGAGGGAATTGTGGAGTGTGAGGGTGGTGAGAGCCTGGCCCAGGTTGCCCAGGGAAGCTGTGGCTGCCCCATCCCTGGCAGTGTTGAAGGGCAGGTTGGATGGGGCTTGGAGCAGCCTGGGCTGGTGGGAGGTGTCCCTGCCCATGCAGGGGGGTGGATCTAGATGAGCTTGAAGGTCCCTTCCAACCCAAACCAATCCATGATTCCACAAGGCTCCTTACCATGCCCACCATCCAGGAACTCAGTGAGGTACATGGTGCTGCAAGGAGACCAGGGCTGGGTCTTGTTCAAGTGGATGAACAGAGGGGCCATCAGGTGGTGCTTCCCAAGGGGCCCGAAGAGCCTCTCGCAGGTCTTGGAGTCATCGTGGGGCATGCTGAGCACATGGCCTGGGGAGAGGGAACATCTGTGAGCCACAGCCTCCCAGCTCTGCTGCAGGTGGTGCCTGGGCAGGTCTGAGCATCTCCCAGGCTGGGTCTGGAGCACAAGTTCTATGAGAAGCAGCTGAGGGAATTGGGGTTGTTTAGTTGAGGAGGCTGAGGGGAGACCTTCTCATTCTCTACAACTGCCTGAAAGGAGGTTGGAGCGAGGTGGGTGTAGGTCTCTCCTCTCACATAAGTGATGATAGGATGAGAGGAAATGACCTCAGGTTGCACCAGGGAAGATTTAGATTGGAAATGAGGAAGAATTTCTTTACTGAAAGACTGGTGAGGCCTTGGATCAGGCTGCTGGAGCTGCTCAAAAAAGATGTGGCTGTAGCACCTGAGGACATAGTTTAGTTGGCATGGTGGTGTTGGGTTGACAGTTGGACTTGATGACCTTAGATGTCTTTTCCAACTTGAATGATTCTATTAGTCTGTGATTCTGAGCTGTTTGTGCCCATAAATTAGAGGTGATGAGCAAAGCAGTGCTTGCTCTGGCTCAGCAGAGCAGCCCATGTCACCCAGCACATCTCTAGGAGTGGCAAACCAAGCTTGATCATCATCTTAGCTCATCACATCAGGCCAACGTGCCCATTTACCCCAACTCTTGCCCTTCTCTGCTGGTGCAGACCAGCTCCTGCCAGTGCCAGGAACTCCTCAGTGCTACCCAAAGCTTGGCAGGTGGTTCCTGGGCTGTGCTCCATCCCCTCCCAGCAGCGGGGCTGGAAAAGCAGAATTACACCCCCCCCCCAGACCCCGGGCAGGGCCACGTTACCCAGTTCATGGGCCAGGGTGTAGGCTGCCTGCAGACCCTCGTCCTCGATCACCGAGCAGCTCTTGTTGCGGTCGCACATGGTGCCAATGTCTGCCACTCCCAGCGTGTCACAGCTCTGGTGCCCACAGAAGTCCTGCCCACAAGGAGGGGAAGGTGGGGTGAAGGGGGTGTTCCATCCAGCAGCCCCAGGGGACAACCCAGCTCTGCATCTGCAGTGCAACCACTCCATGTGGGTTTCCTGGAAGCTCTGCCCTTCCCCCCCGTGCTGGGCACTGGTGGGACCACACCTGGAATCCTGGGGTCGGTTCTGGGCCCCCCAGAAGAAGGACGTTGAGAGGTTGGAATGTGTCCAGTAACAGAGCTGGGGAAGTGGCTGGAGGGCAAGTCTTATGAGGAGCAGCTGAGGGAACTGGGGGTGTTTGGTCTGGAGAACAGGAGGCTGAGGGGTGACCTTCTCACTCCCTATAACTACCTGAGAGGAGGCTGGAGCCAGGGGGGGGTTGGTCTCTTCTCCTGAGGAACCAGTGACAGAACAAGAGGAAACAGGCTCAAGTTGCCCAGGGGAGGTTTAGGTTGGGTATTGGAAGAAACTCCTTCACTGAAAAGGTTATCAGATACTGGAACAGGCTGCCCAGGGAGGAGCTCTGGGAGTATTTAAAAGCTGTGTAGCTGTGGTACTGGGGGACACGGGTTAGCACTGGACACAGCAGAGTTGGGTTAATGGCTGGACTCGACCATCTTGAAGGTCTAATCCAACCAAACCAGTTCTGTGACTCTATTATTCTTTGCACGGTGGGGACATCCCTCCTTCCCCTCCAGGGACATCCCAACCCCTCTCCCCACCCGAAGCACCCCCGGGGAGCCCTCAGACCTGTCTGGTCAGCAGGATGGCCGTGTCGTAGTGCTCGGGGTGCCGGTCGCTCAGGGGGTTGAACTTCTGCTGCCAGGTACAGAAGTTGCGCAGGGTGAGGCCACCGTTGTCAGACACCTCTGGCCCTGCTGCCTCCTCATCCACCACCAGCACCTTCACCACCACCAGGTTGATGGAGTTCTTCAGGCTGGGGTGCTTGTAGATGCGAGCAGCCATGGACATCAGGGTCAGGATGTGGTTCTGTGGGGAAAGAGAGGGGCAGGCAAAGCCTGGGTGAAACCTTTGCCAGGGGGCTCTTATTTGTGGTTAGGAAAGGAATAACCCACCTCGTTTTTGAAGCCTACCACCTTCAGACACACTCAGGCAGCCACCTGGGTTGATGGCCTAAGTGCTGCTTTTTCTGCACACGATGCTTCGCACCTTGTGCTGGCGGGAAGGACAGGCAGGACAAGCCCACCCATCTCCACCTTCCACCAACCCTTTGCACCCAGGAACCCTTCAGAAAATCCCATGAGTGCTCCTGCATATTCCCAAAGCATTAACCCTGCCCCTGTTGCCCTGGGGGCAGGAACCACCTCACCGCCCAACCTCCCAGGGGTGCCAAACCACCTTGGAACGGGCTGGGGCAGAGTTTGAACCCGCTGGACCACAACCCTTGGTGACAAGCCAGGGACAAAGCACTTGGATGGAGGAGACTTCACCCCTGCTCGGGCGACTGGGACGACCAGGGGTGACCTCATATGTCAAACGCGCCAGCGATGTTTAGGCTGATGTAAACATCTTATCGGAGCATCGGAATTCCTGCTCCGCTTGGCACCCGCTCCCAGCCCCCGAGTCAGGAGGAAAAAATGCAGCTATTACACAACGTGGTGTTGGGAAAGAGAAAGTGGCTTCTTGCCTCCCCGGACGAATCACACCCCAGGGTCTCGCTTCAGCACCGTTAATGAACGTGGAAGGACAGGGTGGAAGCCCTTTCTGATGGTTGTTTCAACCCAGATCCCTCTTTCCTGAGTGGGCCTCATCCGTCAGGATGCTGCTGGGAGAGTGGTGGGCACAAAGTCCCACTTCTCTGAGTAAACAAGAGAGGTTTTTAGGGAGATCTCCCCTACCAGCACTACTCACTGCTCTGAGAGCAGCTCACGGGGCAGAGCTGCTCACCCTGAGCTTTTGTGGCTAATTTACATTATTCTGCCACATTTTATCCTGTCGCTGGCAGCTCCATGTAAACAGATGTCTCGCTTCAGCAAGACAGATCCCAAGTCCTCCCTGGCTCATTATCAAAGGGCAGGCCCCAGCAAGGATAGACTGGGTTATTTAGACTGGCCAGATCTCCACGACATGACTCATGTCCCAGCCCAAAGCCTGCAACTCGTGTCACAAAGAAGCCACCACTGAGGCAAGAACACCAGGTTTGCTCCAGGGTGCTGGGGGAACTGTTTACCACATGGGGAAAATCCATTGGGAACCTTTTTAAAAGCATCACGAGGCCTTCCTGAAATGACATGCATGGAGACCCAGAAGGATGCTTTGTGCTGGAGATGCACATCATGGGATCATCCACAATTTCCAACAGATCATCCATAGTTTCCAAGGAAAATTTCCTGCCTCGTCCTTTTCTAACCCATTACAGGTTTCTCTCCATCCTGGTAGTTGTTACCTGGGAGCTCTCAGTCCCTACTGCAAATCCCCTGGGACACCAACCCTCCCATCCTCAGGGTGACATCCAGCCAAGAAAATATTTGAGCAGCAGG